TTTTCTCCAGGATTACATACAGGTAAACATAATTCTGGGAGTTTTGGCAAAGACATCTTATTTGTTGGAGCAGACTGATTAACTGCCTGGTTTGCACATTTTAATTTATTCAAGGCCTGACTTTTACAAGAATCTTTTCCTCTAATTCATAATACTGATTAATCATAAGATCTACTTCAGTCTCATCTGCACAGTTTACTAACAAATCTCCTTCATATTTGCTGTAATATAATTTGTATGAATCATATCTATTCCCTAATGCATCTAAATACAATTTTGAATAATCAGTATTCACAGTTTCTTGATTCATTAATGCCAAAACATTTATTGTATGCTTTTGTTAGATCCCCTTTTCTAGCTGGCAGTAATGCTTTTTTTGCTCTATATTCCATATGTTTGTCTTCAGGTCACTTGTTCTATCTAGGCTGGAATATTGCTGCACACTAACAGCACCTTTCAAGGCAGGTGAAATTGCTGACCTAGAAAATGTACAGAGAACCTTCACGGCGCGCATAACGGAGATAAAACACCTCAATTACTGGGAGCGCTTGAGGTTCCTAAAACTGTATTCCCTGGAACGCAGGCGGGAGAGATACATGATTATATACACCTGGAAAATCCTAGAGGGACTAGTACCGAACTTGCACATGAAAATCACTCACTATGAAAGCAAAAGACTTGGCAGACGATGCAACATCCCCCCAATGAAAAGCAGGGGTGTCACTAGCACGTTAAGAGACCATACAATAAGTGTCAGGGGCCCGAGACTGTTCAACTGCCTCCCAGCATACATAAGGGGGATTACCAACAAACCCCTGGCAGTCTTCAAGCTGGCACTGGACAAGCACCTAAAGTCGGTTCCTGACCAGCCAGGCTGTGGCTCGTACGTTGGTTTGCGTGCAGCCAGCAGCAACAGTCTGGTTGATCAGGCTCTGATCCACCAGGAGGCCTGGTCACAGACCAGGCCGCGGGGGCGTTGACCCCCGGAACTCTCTCCAGGTAAACTAGAGGTAAACACTGATATAAATCTTGGCTAGAATTGCCTTATCAAATTAATATTATACAAATTAATATAAATCCTTGCCAGAATTTGGCATAGCAAAATTAATATTATACACATTAATATAATCTTTAGTCATACTTGACTTGGCTTATCCAAATTAATATTGTAATAATTATAATCCACTACACATTAAGTAAATTTGTGAACTTATCATCCACCTCCTGTCATTTCACATATAATTATTAAGTAATTAACTAATTAATGACTTCACTATTTACCTCCAGTTCAAGAAGGACCAATTGGCAAATTAAATGTGGAAAATTGCATTTATCTGAATGTAACTCATTATGTACATAACAGTAAATAATAACAAAGATAATTATTATTTATCAGTTACATAGACAAGTAGGAATTTGGGACACCTAGGTCGCAAAAATGTCCCCGTTCGATACCTACAACTGTCTTATCCACAAGTTGCTCTAGACCTATTAATTACAAATGAAAGATGCATCAACAAGAATTCTGGTAAATATATAAGTTTGTGGACTGTATACTAAAAATAATAAATGATTATATATATACACATATACAAAACAGGAGAATATCTTAAAATCACTCACCATTTTGACTGGAGATCAAGGTGTATCATACTTAGAAAACCTTTTGGCTATAGCTCCCGCTTCACACACGGAGGGCCCGGGTTCGATTCCCGGCGGGTGGAAACATTTCGACACGTTTCCTTACACCTGTTGTCCTGTTCACCTAGCAGCAAATAGGTACCTGGGTGTTAGTCGACTGGTGTGGGTCGCATCCTGGGGGACAAGATTAAGGACCCCAATGGAAATAAGTTAGACAGTCCTCGATGACGCACTGACTTTCTTGGGTTATCCTGGGTGGCTAACCCTCCAGGGTTAAAAATCCGAACGAAATCTTAACACTGGCCAGAGTTACAAACATAAACAAACTTAACTGAGGTTCCTGGAGCTGTCTTGTCCAGTCGCCTGATATCTCAAGTTATGCAGGACTGCATATCCAACAATTTCGGCTCCTATTTGAGAGTTGTCAGCCCAATTTTAACTCTAGAGCACGAAAATTCTTCCCATTATTCACTAACGTTAGTGTCCAATTCAAACAACAATGGTGAGTCTCCTCTGTGCAGGCACAATTTCCCATTTTTTATAACATAATTTTTATTAAATACAGTATGGCCATCTATTTACATATAATTACTGTATTTCTGGAAAATATATACAGTATTTTCCACAATATATATACACATTTACATAACAGAATATCAGAATAATCTTAATATAACTCACCAATTTGACTGGAGATTAATATGTATCATACTCAAAAAAACCTCATTCTAACTAAATTTATGAAAATAATGCTGGCCAGAATTATAACACAAATCTAGATAGCTTATCTGAGGTTTCTGGAGCTGTCTTGTCCAGTCGTCTGATATCTCAAGTTATGCAGGAATGCACAGCCAACAATTTCGGCTCCTATTTGAGAGGTTTTAAACCCAATTTAACTTCTAGAGCATGAAAATTCTTCCGATTATCCACTAACGTTTGTGTTGACTCAATTCAAACATGGCGAGTCTCTTTTGCACAGGCACAGAATTTCCCATTTTTTATAACAAATTGTTATTAAATACAGTATGTTACACTAATTTACATAAAAAATACACTGTATTTTTTTCTGGAAAATACATTATTTTCCACATCCCCCTTATGAATGCTGGGAGGCAGCTGAACGGTCTTGGGCCCTTGACACTTATTGTGTTGTCTCTTAACATGCTAGTGACACCCCTGCTTTTCATTGGGGGGATGTTGTATCATCTGTCGAGTCTTTTGCTTTTGTAGTGAGCGATTTTCGTGTGTAAGTTCGGTACTAGTCCCTCTAGGATTTTCACAATAATTGAGGTGTTTTATCTCCGTTATGCATACTGTGAAGGTTCTCTGTCCATTTTCTAGGTCAGCAATTTCACCTGCCTTGAAAGGTGCTGTTAGTGTGCAGCAATATTCCAGCCTAGATAGAATAAACGACCTGAAGAGTGTCATCATGGGCTTGGCATCCCTAGTTTTGAAGGTTCTTATTATCCATCCTGTCATTTTTCTAGCAGATGCGACTGATACTATGTTATGATCCTTGAAGGTGAGATCCTCCGACATGATCACTCCCAGGTCTTTGACGTTGGTTTTTCTCTCTATTTAGTGGCCGGAATTTGTTTTGTTCTCTGATGAAGTTTTAATTTCCTCATGTTTACCATATTGGAGTAATTGAAATTTCTCATCGTTGAACTTCATATTGTTTTCTGCACCCTATTGAAAGATTTGGTTGATGTCCGCCTGGAGCCTTGCAGTGTCTGCAGTGGAAGACACTGTCATGCAGATTCGGGTGTCATCTGCAAAGGAAGACACGGTCCGGTTTATTTTTGTGGAAAATTGCATTTATCTGAATGTAACTAATTATGTACATAACAGTAAATGATAACAAAGATAATTATTATTTATCAATGTTACATAGACAAGTAGGAATTTGGGACACCTAGGTCGCAAAAAATGTCCCCCTTCGATACCTACCACTGTCATAACCACAAGTTGCTCTGGACCTATTAATTAAATGAAATATACATACACCAGGAATACTGGTAAATATATAAATTTGTGGACTGTATATTAAAAATAATAAATGGTTATATATATACACAATTACATAACAGAAGGAAAATATATCTTAATATCACTCACCAATTTGACTGGAGATTAATGTGTATCATACTCAGAAAACCTCACTCTAACTAAATCTATGAAAATAATGCTGGCCAGAATTACACACAAATCTAGATAGCTTATCTGAGGTTCCTGGAGCTGTCTTGTCCAGTCGTCTGATATCTCAAGTTAGGCAGGAATGCACATCCACCAATTTCGCCTCCTATTTGAGAGGTGTCAGCCCAATTTTAACCTCTAGAGCACGAAAATTCCTTCCCATTACACAAACGTTGTATCCAATTCAAAACCAAGATGGCGAGTCTCGTCTGCGCAGACGCAGGCTTTCCGTTTTCTATGACATAAATATTATTAAATACAGTATGGCCATCTATTTACATATAAATACTGAATTTCTGGAAAATATGTACAGTATTTTCCACAATTTTGTTGGATGCACCATAGACATGTGGCTCCTCCTGCATGATAAAATGATAGATGGACTGACTTGTATCAATCTCCTTGAGTCCTAAGTCAATAAAATTCAGTTGAAGTTTAAGAAATCACCTCATCACCCAAAATTAAGCAGACAAACCGTCCCTAATCACTACCAGTTACTCATTAGGTACCTACATTGTGCTGATGATTGCTCAACCACATACTCACTACTTCAAAATTAGGATGTCTAAATTTCAGTGCTTTAAATAGTATTAAGCTGTAATACATCATATTGTAAATTGTTTTAACTTGTTCCATTGTAATACTGTAATCTTTATAAACTAATTCAATAGTGTAATAATTCTCTATTAGACTTATTAAAGACATGTAGCATTACCTGACAGCATATTCAATTCTCTTATATTTACTGTAACTCATCTAATGACCATATGTGCAATTATCACCTTCCTAATCTAACTTAATCTTTAAGTTTGCCCGAAATGCTCTGCATACAAAGGGGATTTTGGCATGTATTCCCAACTATTATATTCCCCTGTAGAACCATGTATCATGTCAAAATAAACATTTTAATCCTATTTTAATATAAGGTTCCCAAAGAACATGTTGCTGAATGAAAATTACGAATTAACAACACAAGAAGCAGGTGTTTGCGAGCGCGCAGGTGTTTGACTCTATTTGGTTTACTTTACCCTTATATTCATATAAATTACTCTATAGGACATATATAAAAATCTAAATTTGTGTACTGAACATGAATAAATACTGACGAAGAGTAGTAAGTTTTAAAAACAGTTATATGAAAGAGGTTGTGTCTCCTGCTGATGCTCAGGATAAAGCAGTGTTACCCTCGCCGTCCGCTACAGTGCACCATAATACTTGTCACCATTTAGCTTAGTTATTTTTGTCATACTAATTTATATATACTTTTATATTTGTAGGACTCGAGATACACGTTGGCGATGACAGGCTCAAACAATGCACACTGTGAGAGCAAAAGCACAGTAGCTCGCCGCAGATGGAAGATATTGGCAGAGGTTGGTGAGGATACATTGTTTCTCCTCTCAGTGTTATATTACATTTTGGCTAATTATTGTGCACCTGCTACTTGTCAAGGAAAATAAATGTCAAGTGGGTGCTTTAGTAGAGAAGATAGCACTCGTGATTTAAGCCCAGCCATGAGGTATAATGGTGGGGTTATATTAATAGGTGTGAGAGCCGAGAGGGAGCCAAGTTGAGGGGAAGTAGTGTGTCAAGTGTCCCCTCAGAGTGATGCTCACCACACGTTACTCAACTCTCACAACTCTGCCTCAGTTTTTTCTTAATTGAGTGCTTTCAGGCATTCTTTATATATAAAGTGATTGAATGGTACTTTAACATGTTAAATAGGTACTCCCATTTGTACATATATTGACTTGACAGCCTAAAAAATGTATATAAATGCAACCAGAAAACCATTATAGTTTTCTTGAGGTACCTGAATGGAATGGTGAGGGGCTCTTGATCTAGGGAATTGCATCTGTGCTTTAGTTCCCTGAATTGAGCCTCTGTACTTACCATCCCCCCCTCTCCCCTACAGGCACTGTATAATCCCTACGGGTTTAGCGCTTCCCCATGATTAATATAATAATAACCTGAATGGAAGATAATCTAGTAATTATACCCTGTGCAGCTGAGTTCTTTGTTTAGGATATTCATACAGTATACAGGGATAATTATTAGAAAATGAATATTAATATACAATAATTACATTTACTAATATATCATTATAATACATCTTTATTTTTTCTTCAGTATACAGATGTAGTTTCCATGTAATAAAATATTGTTAAGCACATAAGGAAGCCAGTGAAATGCAGCGCATTTATACAAAACTTAGTTTTATGATGACTTAACCTACACTATATCTTATAATTCCTCATAAGGATTTAAATTCATGTGGTCACTATTATATTTCTCACCCACACACATGTGAATCAATACTATCACTATATAAAACTTTTTTTTTTATATATATATAATCAAACTAAATATGTAAAAATGACAGGTTATGATGACTTAACCTAGAAAATCCTTTTACAGTATTTATGAAAAAAAAAAGTTCAGTTTGCCGACATGTGTAATATATTTGTGATACCTGGAGTATACCTGGAGAGGGTTTCGGGGATCGACGCCCCTGCGGCTCGGTCTGAGACCAGGCCTCATGGTGGATCAGGGTCTGATCAACCAGGCTGTTACTGCTAGCCACATGCAAACTGATGTACAAACTACAACCTGGCTGGTCAGGTACTGACTTCAGGTGCCTGTACAGTGCCTTCTTGAAGACAGTTAGGGGTCTGTTGGTAATCCCCCTTATGTATGCTGGGAGGCAGTTGAACAGTCTTGGGTCCCAGACACTTATTGTGTTCTGTCAGTGTACTTGTGGGACCCCTACTTTTCATTGGGGAAATGTTGCATCTGCTGAGTCTTTTGCTTTCAATGGGAATGATTTTCATGTGCAAGTTTGGTACCAATCTCTCTAGGATTTTCCAAGTGTATATTATCACATATCTTTCTTGTCTGCATTCCAGGGAATACAAATCAAGGGACTTCAACCATTCCCAGTAATTTAGGTGCTTTATCATAGTTTTATGTGCTGTGAAAATTCTTTGTACACTCCAGTCAGCAATTTCGCCTACCTTGAAAGGGGCAGTTAGTGTACAGCAGTATTCCAGCCTAGAGAGAACAAGCGATTTGAAAAGAATCATCATGGGCTTGGCATCCCTAGTTTTGAAGGTTCTCATTATCCATCCTATCATTTTTCTAGCACATGCAGTAGATACATTGTTGTGGTCTTTGAAGGCGAGAGCCTCTGACATTATCACTCCCAGGTCCTTCACATTATTTTTCACTCTATTGTATGGTTAGAATTTGTTTTGTACCCTGATACAGTTTTAATTTCCTCAAGTTTTCCATATATGAGTAGTTAAAATTTCTCTTCATTGAACTTCATATTGTTTTGAGTGACCCATTTGAAGATTTAGTTGATGTCCGCTTGAAGTCTTGCGGTGTCATGGCAGTTCAGGTGTCATCTGCAAAGGAAGGCATGGAGCTATGGCTTACATCTCTGCCAGATATGAGGAATAGGAATAGGATGGAAGTGAGTACCGTGCCTGGTGTAACAGAGCTTTTCACTGTAGCTGCCTCAGACTTTACTGTTTACTATTACTCTTTGTGTTCTGTTTGTTAGGAAATTATTGATCCATCTACCAACTTTTCCTGTTATTCCTTTATCACTCATTTTTTGCACTATTACCCGTGGTTGCACTTGCCGAAGGCTTTCGCAAAGCCTGTATACTAAATCTGCATTTTGCTTATCCTCTGTAGCATCCAGGACCTTGTTTTAGTGGTCCAGTAGTGGGGACAGGCAGGAGTGACCTGCTCTAAACCCCTGTTGCCCTGGTTGTGTAATTGATGGGTAGGTGGTTAGTGATCTTGTTTCTTAGAACCCTTGCAAAGATTTTTATGATTTGGGATGTGAGTGCTATCGGTCTGTAGTTCTTTGCAGTTGCTTTACTGCCACATTTGTAGATTGGGGCTATATCTATTGTTTTAGTGAGTGTGGGATGACCCCTGTGTCCATGCTCCCTTTCCATAGAATGCTGAAGGCATGTGACAAAGGCTTCTTGCAGTTCTTGATGAGCATGGAGTTCCACAAGTCTGGGCCTGAGGCAGTGTATGTGGGCATGTCATTCATTACCTTTTCAGAGTCTTGTGGTGTTAGGATAATATTAGAGACTTTTGAGATGACCAAATTTTGGGTCTCGCTGAAAACTGGGTCATATTGGGACTTTAGTATCTCTCTCTTTTCTTTTCTGTCATCTGTGTAGCTCCCATCTCGCCTAAGCAAGGGCCCAATACTTAATGTTGTTTTACCCTTTGATTTGACATAAGAGAAGAAGTATTTTGGGTTTTTTCAATTTCCTTTATGGCTTTTAGTTCTTCCTGAGATTCTTGTCTCCTGTAATTAAGCTTAAGTTCGATATTTTCTAGTTCTCTGACCAGTTCCTCCCTTCGTATTACAGATATATTGGCCCCTCCCAGGAGCTCTGTGATTCTTTACCTTTGCCTGTAGAGGGAGCGTCTCTCTCTAGTTTACATTTTCTCATTCTTTTTCTTAATGGAATGTGACTTGAGCAGGCCTAAAGTGCCACAGAGCTTTTTTTTTTTTCTAGGCAAGGGTTCAGATCTGTGTTGTTTAGGATATCTTCCCAGTTTGTTTCATTTAGGACATGGTTGACTTGTTCCCATTGTATATTTTTGTTATTGAAGTTGAATTTTGTGAAGGCATCCTCATAACTGATCACAATTTGCTGGTCAGGAGCCCTGTGCATACCAGGCCACGGTGTCCCGTGGCCTGGTGGCTAAAATTCTCGCTTCACAAGGTGATGTCCGGGTTTGATTCCCAGTGAGGATATAAACATTGGGCGTGTTTCCTTACACTGGTTGTCTCTTTTCACCCATCAATATAAAATGGGTACCTGGGTGTTAATTGACTGGTGTGGGTTGCATCCTGGGAACAAGATTGACTTAATTTGCCTGAGATGCTCTGCATAACAAGCAGCTTTCTATATAGTAGTATGTCATTGATGTCAGCTAGGCCTCTATACCTTGTATATGTACTTGTAGAAATAAAGATATTTTTATTATTATTATTATTGTGATATGAGTGAATTGTCTTTGATGTGGTTTTATCACGTATCAGATCATCGTTGTTAGTGAAGATGAGGTCCAGCGTGTTTTCTAGTCTTGTAGTCTCTAATATTTGCTGTTTTAAAGTAAATTTGGTGCAGAGATTTAATAGCTCGTGTGTGTGTGTGTGTGTGTGTGTGTGTGTGTGTGTGTGTGTGTGTGTGTGTGTGTGTGTGTGTGTGTGTGTGTGTGAGGTGTGAGAGTGTGTGAGTGAGTGAGTGAGTGAGAGAGAGAGAGAGAGAGAGAGAGAGAGAGAATTTTCATGTGAGCTGTCTCCTAGGGTGATCTTGGATAAAATATTATTTGCTACACTCCTCCATTTTATGTGTCTCAAGTTAAAATCTCCCAGTAGCAAGAAGTTTAGGGCAGGAGTTGTGAGATTTTTCTAGACAGTGGACAGTCTTCAATAGCTGTTCCTGGAATTACTAGGAAGTTGCATCCAGAGGCTTGTATACAACCACAAAGACAAGGTTTTGGTTTTCAATTTTTATTGCCAGACCTTCAACTACATCATTGGAGGTGTTTAGTAGTTTTGAGCAAGTGAGTGACTCTGTGATGTACAAGTGACAAATGCTCCCCCCCCTCCCATCCCCGGTTGCCTGTTTAGTCTGTCACATCTGAATAGGTTATTACCTGGGATCCATATTTTGTTGTCAAAATGATCCTTTATGTGGGTCTCTGGGAAAGCTGCAAACATTGCATTTGACTTCTTGAGCAGCCCTTTGATGTAAAGAATTTTGTTGTTTGTTGATGGCTTGAGACCCTGTATGTTTCCAAAGATAAACATCATTATATTGATGGAATTTAAGGGGCTTTGAGAGTTTTCCTACCCTTGCAGCTCAGCCTTGGGCCAGACTTTTCTGTTCTTTGCCTGTTCAGCCAGGCTATTGCTATTTGGCAGCCCAATGACCCATATAGCCATCACAGCCTGATTGGTCTGACACTTACCAGAGGTAGGCATCCAGTAATTTATTTACAGATAGTCTTAAGCAAGCTTCATTGAGGGTTGGTTAAAAGAGGACACAGTGAATAGGTCTGGAATGTGCATTTACATATACACAACAAAGAGGAAGCTTTTAATAAATAAATAAATTTTGTTCGGATTTTTAACCCCGGAGGGTTAGCCGCCCAGGATAACCCAAGAAAGTCAGTGCATCATCGAGGACTGTCTAACTTATTTCCATTGGGGTCCTTAATCTTGTCCCCCAGGATGCGACCCACACCAGTCGACTAACACCCAGGTACCTATTTGCTGCTAGGTGAACAGGAAACGTGTCGAAATGTTTCCACCCGTCGGGAATCGAACCCGGGCCCTCCGTGTGTGAAGCGGGAGCTTTAGCCACCAGGCTAAGGTTAAGATTATTAACTTGGAGGGTTAATGATCGAGGATAACCCAGCAAAGTTAGGATGTCTTTGGGGTCCATTAATTATCTCCCCCAAGATAAGACCAATACCAGTCATCTAACACTTAGATACTGCTAGGTGAACTGGGGCAACAGATGTAAGGACACAGGAGATATTTTACCACCTAAAGACTGTCTAAATCTAATACAGAGACATGAAAAAAACAAGTATGTAAAAACTGGAGAGGTAATGGTACAAAGTAATAATAGCAGTGGCCCTATAAGCATGGAGAGGGGCTTGCTGGTTTGGTTGTAGTTTAACCGAGATAGAGCTTGACAGCTTTTGAAACTCCTAGTATTTTGCACTAAGGAGTTGGATGTAACAATAGATGTTTTTAAACATTGTATCTCTAAAAATTTTCTTCCTTTAGGGTCAATTTGGTGTTATTCCAATTCATAATGTGCTCATGCATGAGCTTGTGTGTATATTGCATTTATTTGTTGTGTTCTTTCCCATTCATGCTTATTTGTGTTCACTGACTGGTGTCGAAATATCTGTAAGTCTTCCTAATGTAAAACCTTTCATACCCTCCATATGAAATCAGGTAAACTTCTGTATTGAAGCTTAATTTCAACTTTTGCCCTTGTGTTTGTCCTCAATACTTACATAAAGACTAGCATGTAAATAATGTTATTTCAGCTATCCCTTGGATTGAACCTGATTTCCTCCCATTTTCCCAGGCACTGTCCCCTACTGGTTTAGTGCTTTCCCTGATTATAATAATAATAATATAAACTAATATTGATTATTGTTACGCTGCTTAACAGGTTTATTGTTTCAGGCTCTACAGAGATCCAGTTCCAGGGATGCTTCACCAGATAGTGCTTCGACTCGAAAGTTCCAGTCTTTTGGACTTTTGTCATTTGATCCTCTTGGCCAGGACTTCTATTCTGTCAAGTGCATCAACTCGGATTTAACAGTTATTGTAAGGTGAGGATGGGGAATGCTGACTTCAAGCTGATTTTATAGTGTACCATTAATAGATAATAACAGTGCTTTTCAAGGCTGGAATAGTGATCATTTGTTTTATATTGTTATGTTGTAGATACCTGCATTATATGATTTTTTTATATGTGCCTTGTGGATAATAAGGGAAAGGTCAATATGATAAATGTAAAAAATATCTGAAACAGCATATGCATGTAAAAAATATCAATTTTTTTTTTAATTTATTTTCATATGCACAAATCATTGTTTAAGGCATTTTTGGGGATGAAAATTGAGTTAGCCCTTACTACCATCAAGGCTTCAAGTGAGGTTAAGCATCCATGGCTAATGCATATACTGTATATACTCAAGTATAGCCCAACCTTATAAGTCAACCTCTGGCTTTTTTGATAAAAAATCTTTTCTTTTTCATGTCTCTCATATATGTATGTCCTAATTTTGGAAGACAATGAGATATTTGAGAACTGAAGTATTGTGCAGTAAAACCTTGATTTAATGAATCTCCTATTTAATGAATTTCAGAAATAATTAACAAAATCGGCAGTATGAATTGATTTTAAAAACGACAATTAAAGTCTATTGGGTATAGAATCGTCCATTATTGTCTTGACAATGGGCAAATTACACAAAAATTAGGCAAAATCTGCTGGATACAGAATTGTCTGTTATTGTCACGGCTCGACAATCTCGTCTATCCATCACTAAATGAAAATAAATTACCCTACTGTACTTTTAAGTCCTATATTTTCAGTATTTATTATATCTGTAAACTATGTATGGTAATGTATTATGTATACAGTAGAGTGCTGTAGTGTTTTTTCCTTTGCTGTATTTTTAACTTTATTCAGGTTTGCTGGATAAGCAGTACTACCTGTTAGTCTGTTAAATTTAGGTTTTACTGTATTGTACTGGGTGCTGGTATTGTGTTTTTCTGTGCAAAAATAAGTAAAAGATAATCTCCAAATCTAATGCTTTCTGTTATTAAGAAAAAAGGAGCACAGCAATAAGCCTACTGATCCATGTTATGCACGTCTTCCTCTTGTCCAACCATTCCCACTCATATGTAACTTTCTAAACCAGTACTTTTCTGTATAAAAACAAAAATAAATGAGCATTGCAGTAGGCTTACTATCCCATGTTATGCATGTCCTTATCTTAGCCAACTATTCCCACCCAGGTATATGTGGAACATATGTTTAGAATTGTGTAGCTGTTGAAGAAGCTTCACATTACAGTAGGGTCCCACTTATGTGGCAGGTTAGGTTCCAGGCTACTGCTGGAAAGCAGACATCGCCGGAAAGCAGAACGCCATCTTTTCCACTTACAAATGCATAGAAATGCCAGGTAACAAATTTACACTAACATATATTGCGTTAGCAATGGAACTAGGCATTAAAAGCAATAAAAAGTAAAATACACGTGCAGTACACCCATTACTTATTGTAAAATATTTGTAGTCTTAATGTAGGGTGAGAGGTGAGATTAACTTGTAGGAAGTCAGGTTTGGGAGGTATGGTAGCCAGCCAGGTCAGCCCACCCCACCCACACGTAATATACTACATTTAATTAAAGCTCTCCAGAGTGATAAAATACATTCAGTACATTTATTAATTACCTTAAAATATTTGTAGTCTTAACGTAGGGTGTGAGGTGAGTTTTATTTGTGTTTGAAGTCAAGTTTGGGAAGTATGGTAGCCAGCCAGGACAGCCCTCCCCACCCCACCCCATCCACACGTAATATACCATAACATAATTAAAGCTCCCCAGAGCGATAAAATACATACACAGTACATTCATTAATTACCTTAAAATATTTGTAGTCTTAATGTAGGGTGAGAGATGAGTTTTATTTGTAGGAAGTCAGGTTGGGAAGTATGGGTAGTCTGCAGGGGCAGCCCTCCCTGCCCCACTCCACCCACACATAATGTAAACAAACCAGGCAAACACATCTGGTTTTCGTCACTTTACATTGTGTACCAGTTGTCTCCATGTTGATACAGTAGAATAAATAAAGAGAAACTCCCATTTTCATGTAACACCATTTTTTGAAGAAATGACGCCCTGAGTGAAGGCATGCTTAGGTACAGATACACACATGTATAATTATCAGTTATAATAATAATGTAGGTATGTAGTCCACCTGGGCTACATACCTACACCTACCTACATAGCTACATGATATTTAATGTGGCCCAGAGCCATATTATTACCATCGACGTACCATGTTCACTGAGTTTAATCGTTTATAACAACTACCTTTAGATGCCATCATAAACAGTGGGAGAAGTAATAAATAATTCATGCCGAGAATTGTAAACAAAACCGTTATATATTTAGGGGAGTTATGTAATGTTTTCCCTCTGCCCGGCTACCACACCTCCATAGTATATAAACATAAATGCTATGTAACATGTTTCTTATATGATTTTGAAGAAAATATCATAGATGGATTAACGAAAATGTCTATATTAATGTAAAGTAAGACATTTAATGTGCCCAAGAGTGATTATTATTACGTAATGTTTTACCTCCATCTGGCACCACACCTCCATAGCATATAAACAGCATGTTTATATGCTATGTAACGTGTTTCTTATATAATTTTGAAGAAAATATCATAGATGGATTAATGAAAATGTCTATATTGATGTAAAATTAGACATTTAATGTGCCCATGAGTGATTATTATTACTTAATAAAGAGATGTGTGCATGGAGAATGTAAACAAACCGGGTGGTGCGTGCTGTATTTGAAAGACCACTTGCCGTATAGAAAGTTTTGGTAATAATTTGATTGCCGTATTAGCGGAATGCCTTGGGCAAAACGCCAAAAAGTGGGGCCCTACTGTACATTTCAAAGGGTTGGAGTAGCTGAGACTTGCCATTTCAGTATTTTAAATTTTCATGTTTAGGTGTGGCATGCAGGATTTTGCTGTGTAGTGAATAGAGAAATAGGGAGTGTGCAAAGAAAGTACTGAATATTTTTTAACATGAAGCAGTGGATACAACTTAGATGAATTCAGATTTGGAAAGAATATAGGAAAGCAATGGTTTGACAATAGAGCTGTTTAGTAAGACTATGTGCAACACCAGGAAGTTTTATTGATGAAATGCTTTGCCTGTACTGCAAGCTTCATTATTCAAACATGGAGATGAGTCACACTCCAGGAGACATGAGTCTTAGTGGAAGATGCAGTAGACAAAATGGAGAGGTGAACTGATTTAATCAGTTCGCCACCCTTGATGCAAGATAATCAGTCTTATCCTAAAGCAGAAGCATGTGGCCAGAGGTTTATATACCAGAAAGTGAGATGTAGCAACCTGATGAAGTCGAAGGTGAGCTGAGCCCATTATTGGAACTAGGTCGTGCTTAACAGTTGTACACTAATCAGCTATAGAATTGTAACTATATGGACAGATACACGAGTTGGAATGGTTGAGTGAAAGTTGGATGTGCCTTGCATGGACCAGTAAACCTTTTGCAGTCTTCTAATAATGTTTCTATGTTCTTATATAGGAAATAAAATGCTAGTTTGGGAGGAGTTGTAGATGAGTGGAATGTGTGATTGTGGACAGTTCCTCCCTAGCCACGCTAGGGAGGTACTGTACTCTTCAGAAATATTGCCCATGAATAATTTGACCCTACTTTTCTTTTGCCAGATTATTGCCTTACAACCTCAACTTATACTTGAGTATGTACATTAACACTATAGGTATTAGTATTCAGAGTAAGCCCAATAATAGTATTTCCCTAATTAATGCTAATGTAATAAACTGCACATAAAGTTTAAGAATGATGTCTACAAAATTATGTATGATTATTAATTTCTGGTAAATAGAAAATTTTATTTTTTCAATATTGTATGATGCCTGCTTTCCTTTACAGTTGAATGCACATCTTTGTAGTAATGCACATTTATAAATTGTGTATATACAGTAAACCCTCTTATAGCACAACATCAGCATAACTCTGAGTAAATGCAATTGAGAAGTGCATCCAAAATTTCACAGCTTGTTAAAGCCCTTGATATATGGGCCATAAGGAGTGAGAGCATCAAGTTAAAGCAAATTCTGGGTACTGTTTTTTCCCCTTCATCCCATGTTAGGTCTAAGAGATAAATGTTTGGAGAAACACAGCTCCTTCCCTTTCCCACTGCCACCCATGCTGTCTAAAGTGTCTTTCTGGGAGTGTTGCATGGTTTACATGCTATGTTTATCACATGATTTTGGTGTTTTTATCATCATGTCCCATCTCTAAATGTCATTCATGGCACCCAAAAGGAATTCTAGTGACTTGAGAAATTGTAATAATATGATTGCAGACAACTTACAAAGCAAGCAAGATTCAAACCCATGGCATGTCAGGCCTAAAACTAGCAGACCAATGCCAGATTAATAAGATTCAACCAGCTAGGTGTTGTATATTTCTATACTACTAATAAGGTTAGTATGGGGACCACTGGGATTGCAGATGTAGATTTTTACAGTCACTAATAACAACTTTAAGGGATTTGAGCTAGAACTTGCCACAGCAATGTTGGCTTTGTGTTTAAAAATCTCCATTTGTGATCATGATGGTGCCCATGTTAACCTTCTTAAGTGTTTAAAAATTCAGTATGCAGACTACAAATCATATTTCTTTTGCCAAATTGTAAGGGAACTTTTAGTAATATATATGATAAAGGGTAAGCAAAACCAAATTTCACTTTTAATATTTGGCAAGTCATCCAGCAGGCAACTAGAATACAAGATCTTGAAAACCATTGAAAATTCCAGGAAGAATCCCACAGAAATTAAAAATAACTAAACTTCAAGAGATTGCACCAGTCCAGTTATTCATGTTAAGTCACATTCATACAGGAAAAGCTGACCAACCAAGAGGAAAATGGACTCGCCCACCATGCGAATGAAAATGAAAGTTAGATGATAAATTAACAATGCAAATTGCAGCCTGCATAACCAACACAATAATTTCCTTGACGA